GACAACGAAAGATGACAATTAACAAAAGAAAGTTCTCTCCTAGAGCTTCTCAATGAGTGTATCGAGGTATGCGAAAGACTCTCGAGAATATCGACACTCGTTCGATTCCTCATACGATAATTAATAATTAAAACTTTTTAAACATAAAACGAACTATCTGCGCTCACATTTCATTCTTAAAATTCTATTAAATTATATAAAAAAAAAAAAAAAAAAAAAAAAAAAAAAAAAAAAAAAAAAAAAAAAAAAAAAAATTACATTTTACTGAATTTTTATTCTTCAAGCTTGTTCACTGTTTAATGGGAAATTGTTATTTCATTGTCGCTATGCTCGAAGTCATCCACGAGTACAAAGTTCCTTAAACAATGACTGTAATCATACTTATTATAACGAACACATTGTAAATACCCGTATAAATAAAACACACTTGTCTATAAGATTGAGCGGCGTTTATTTAAAAAATTTTTGTCAACGCTTCCCGGCACTTAATCACAGAGACAGACAAACGAAGAAAGCGTTTTGAGAAAAGCAGTCAAACATATGCCTTGTGCTTCTTTGTCTCCTTTCCTCCTTTTATAAATACATATTGCATATGAAAATTTTTGTTCAATCCATTATACAGAGCACTTGCAAAGAAATCATTATTAGCCTAAAAGACAAACGAGGTGTATTCAAAAATTGAAAAAGACAAATACGGTCGAATATATCGAACCTCTTAAACCTTGGCATCTTAATAAAACAGGGTCGCGTACGTCTTATGAGATAATGAAAAAAGAAAGAAATTCGACGACTATTTCGCGAACGTTTACAAACGTACATTTTAACGAAAAAGAAAAACGGTCTGTACTCCCCTACCACCACCATCACCACCACATATCCAGATTTCTATATAAGCCTTGCATGTAAATATATAGCACTCTTAGTTTTAACGATTTATCCGAGCGACGTATGAGCAAAACATAAAATAAAATGCACAGAGTTTCGTAGGTGAAAATGAGATGCACAATGATCGACAATCCGTGCAACATCGACTGGTCGAAGTGTGCAGTAGATGTTTTAAATAATCGTCAAATTCGCGTATCGATACTAGTATACACATAGTTGATAAGATATCTTAATGTGTAACTTCGTTGAGACGAAGAATAGTAGAAAAACCAAGGGCTATGAACTATAAGTTTGTGCAGCTACGTGCGCTCGCACGTGTGTATGTATGTTGTGCATTTATGTCTACGATTTATAAATAAATGTATTTATGAACAATTATAAATAGCAATTTAATGATAGGAATGAATATGAGAAAAATACATTAGAGAATACGATAGCACAGCATTGTGCAGGGACGCGCCAACAAAGCGTATTGTCTTTATAAATATGGATATAACAATTAATTATGCAAATTTATAAAAACAAGTGAAATTGATTGTATTGTAAATAGTTGGGGTTAGATTTCAAGATTGATACGAGTCACTCTGATACAGCGAAAGTTGGTGTACATATATATATATATCAGTAACGACATTCGATGCATAAGGGTGAATCGCAATAAAGACGAAGATAAAGACGTAAACGAAAAGAAATGGAGAGAGAGAGAGAGAGAGAGATAGAGATAGAGAGAGAGAGAGAGATAGAGAGAAATAGAGAGAGAGAGAGAGAGAGAGAGAGAGAAAGAAAACCCTATTATGTATATTAATGTGAATTTTTTATTTACAACTTTCTCATCTCTTTGTATTCGCCTCTTGACGAGGAAAAATTTACACTGCACGGTGTTAAACGTGTAAAATATAGATGAAAGAAAGTGAATAAGATAAAAAAAAAAACGTTTCGAAGCGTCGCGTTTTTAACTGTACATTATTATCTCGAGTATAGTAATCTTCTATATATGCTAGAAAAGAGAAATAGATAGTTAGGTAGATAGATAGATAGATAGACAGGTAGGTAGGTAGATAGAGAGATAGACAGATAGATAGAGAGAGAGAGAGAGAGAGTGAGAGTGAGATTGAAAGGAAAAAGAGAAGAGGAAAGAGGTGTTTTTTTTTTTACATAGGCGAGATGTGTTGCGATTTCTCATGGACCAAACCGTAGAGATTGCGCGTCGAGAAACAGTGAAAGAAGGGAAAAATGGAGAATTAAAAAAGTTCCTAAGCGATGTGCGAAATTGCACACTTGCACATTGTACGAGACGAAATGTTATAATGAAAAGCGTAAAGAATAATTACGAAGAAAGAGTCGTGTTTTTCGCATCAAAACGAAATATATAATGCGATACTTGTGTAGATAATAACTAATAAGGAAAAGAAAGAAAAAGTTACAGAAAAAAGTATATAATTGCGTAAGTTTTCCAATATGTCTCCCGAGCCTCTCTTCCATCTCTTGCACTTTGTGCAACATGACAGCGTATCCCACGGTTGATGTAGAATTATTATTTCTAGCAGTTATTATTATTATTATTATTATTATTATTATTATTATTATTATTATTATATTAATATTATTTCTATTATTATTAATATTATTTCATTGAATTAACTTTTATTATTTGAAAATAAAACCATACGAAGATTTCAGTTGATTAACTGGTTTTTCTTTTAATTTTATCCCAACCATTTTCTTCCACATCTCTTTTCATAGTTTCCCTTCGTTATCATTATATAACCATTATCATCTTGCATTCATACTAATGAAACAAAAATAATGTATTTGCAACAGTTGACAACAATTCATAGTGATATGACACAAATATTTCCAATAGCTTCTCCCCAGTTCCAATGTAATCTTTATCACTGTTGTTTGTTTATGGTATCGTTAAGTTGTTTTAGATATTTTCAAGTACTATTAAACCACCATCCTAAAGTTATTTAATCGATTGTACATATACAGTAATCAATTAAAGCATAAAATAAGGTATTCGACGATTGATGTATTATTTCGCAAAACTTTTAAATGTATTGAAGGAATCTGTCTAAACAAAATTTCGAAATGAGTCATGGTATACCAATAGTAGATGACAATTAAAAACTGAATAAACTTGTAATGTTTTTTCGAAAAAATGAGCAGAAGATTAATAAACTTCTTCCGGTAGATTAATGTGTATTATGCGTAAGAATTGAATATTAAGTGAGAATGATATGTAATGAAAATATGGACGAATGTCTTTTTTATTCAAAACGTAGTTGAGAAGAGGAAGAAAAACTTTGGCGCAATTGAGGATCAAGTTTTTCCAAAGAGCACGGTATAACGATTTCCTAAATATTATAAGGGGCTATGAGCCAATAATTTTTTTCAATTTTAAAATATTGAAATATTTTTTACGAAAACCGTAAATTGTGTGCTGTTAGACAACTTAAAGGACTTATAGAGTAAAAATCTTCTAAGCCGAGCTAACGGTGATTTTGAAAAAAATTCATACGATAGTGATACGATAAACGAAGGAATCAAACATATATTCTTTTTAATTGACAGATGATAAAAAAAGTATTAAAAGCTAATCATAAGGTTTTACGAGATTTCATGAAGATCAGCGATGTATAAACAGAATCATATCATTCTTAAGAGACGTTAATGTTAACATCTAGATACGCACCAATATTACAACAATTATTATTACTATTATTATTACTATTTACCATTATACAATTAGTAATACATTGTAATTGTATAATAAAATGCGTCATAGATAATATAATATAATCTTTTTATTTCATCTGCATTTTAATATCTCCGTATAACAAACACTACTATTTACAATATTATTCTATAATTTGTATAAGAATTAATTTAATCTAGGAGCAACCCGTTTAAGTTCATTCCATGTGTACAATCCAAAATTGAATTTATAATAAAGAAATATAAATTTCATTTAGTAAAGAAATTAATATTATTTGAGAAAAAATATTTTTAAATAATAATAATTTTAATAAATTTATTAACAATTAATCCAACTAATTAGCTCGAACGTATTAAGGAGTAATCGTTTAATCATTCAATAACAATGCTTTGTTGCTTTAACATAAACGTTCATTTTATTAAGAGATTACAAGAAATAATTTCGAATTATAAAAATGTTTTTTAATTAATTATTGTTATTAAAATCTCTGCATATTATCACTGATTTACATTGACAATTATTGTAAAATTTGCAGTTAATGTTCATTACAATTATTAGAATATTGTTTATTAGTTGATTAATCAATTTGGAATAATATTAATGTAGATTTTTAATATATACAATGAAAATATCAACAACAAACCAAATTTTATTTATATTCAACCACAATTTATATTTATGTACCTATAAATAAACTAATAATTTCATTTCAAACATATTTATTTAAATTTTCATATAATATAACGTTTGTAGATATGCTTTAAATTTTTTTAATTTTTTATAATCTTTGTTTTGTTTTTGTTTTTGTTGTTGTTGTTGTTGTTTTTTTAAATCATAGCTTGAAATAAATGATATAATAAAACCACAATTTTATGCTGCAGTATTTTCCTACATGTTATTTATGAAATATATTCAAGATTAATTTTATGCAAAATTATACAGATTGTCTAGATTTAATAATTTATAAAATTGGCAAATATAATATAAATACACATTCAATGTCTTTTTTTAGTAATATCTAATTTTAAAAATAAGCTTGCTGAATAATATTACTAGTTAGCGATTGCAGCATTAACGAAATTATTAACGATTGCATTATTAACGAAAGAAATTTTTTTTAATTTTCCTTCATTTTATAAATATTAAAATAAAATAAACTAAATTTTTATGGTATCACTTTATTTCTATGATATATTATTATTATTTATATAATTAACTAAAAGGTAAGAGATGATATTAAAATGGCGAACTTAATTCTTACATTATTTTTTAAACAGTTTATAAAATATTGTTAGTTGCGAATTATATTTACTATAAGATATAATAGATTATATAAAATTTTAAAACAATTATAGGTATTTAGAAGTTTTATCATATTATTTTCTTCTAAATTTTTCCTTTATTTCCATTTTGTGTATTTGATCTTTTCCAAATACATTAAAATGCATCGTATATTGTTTTTTTTTTTTTTTTTTTTATCATATTTTAATGAAAAATGTTCTAAATTAAAAACAAAAATATTCTTTCGTATATGCTTTAAATTATTTTATTATTATAGGATTTTAATTTAATAATGTATTCAATTCAATGAAAATGTTATTGTATATTGAATAAAAAGAACTAATTTATCTTAATTAAATGATTGTATATCACATATTGTTATTTAATACTTACTATTCATTTAATTGTCACTAAAAAATATTTATAATATTTCATCTAGTACTATTAAATTCTTTTGTTTCGGAAGCTCTGAATAATAAATAAATATGATATAATATATTTTAAAAGATAAATATTTATTTAATGAAAACTTTGAAATTTTAGCAATTGAGTTTGCATTCGCGCAATAACTTTTATGCACAGATCCAATGATCTATTTATTTTTAACTGAATAATTGTTAAAAATATAGTGAGATAAAATATGCCTTGTAAATATTTTTTCCAAAAAGAGCAATTCATCAATATTATAATTTATTAATGAAAACTTTTTCAATTTTCCGATATATAGTAATTAAAAGTAATTTTAATATATGATTCGATACAGATAAATTTGTATTATTGGTCGAGAGATACATATTTGTTGGAGTGAAAGTGAAAATGGAGTTACTTTTTTTCAATATATTTATTCAAATATTAAATTACAAATAGTGAATAATAATTAATGAAAACCTTTGCAATTTAACTTTTACACGTACATAATATCACTTTCACCAATCTAACATCGTTCATGATTTTTTAGAGTGCAATTATACTTTTTATCAACATTGGCTAATTGTTTCTTTTCGGCTCTTTAGTCAACTACATTAAAGCCATGCAAATAACTTTAAATGACATTCTGTTATACAAGTTTTACGAATTGTAATATTACAATATATAATGAAATGAGGATCAATTTTTATAATATAAGTTACGAATGATGTATACGCATACAAATTATTTTAAATCGATTATAAAAAAAATTCTTGTTTTTATTTCCAATTTATTTATTGGGATTTTCTGCAGTACTTTCAATATTGCATATATTTCAAAATTCTTTTTTCTCTCTCTTTTACAGTGATCTTATTTCTCTTAATGAAACGAATTTATTCAGAGTTTTAAAAAAAGTATAAACCTTTTTTTAAGCACAAAATTAGTTTTTCAAAAGATATGTAATTAGTATATGCATTTGCCTAAAAATGAGTTTTCCATCAGAAATATCTAAAGAAATGAAAGTTTGCTTTTTTTTTTTTTTTTTTTAATTACAAAGATGTTAAAACCAATGTCGAACAATTTTAATTTTAAAATTTATAAATATATGTGAGCTTTAATATATAATATAGAATATAATATTTAAATACATAATACTTCATAATCCGTTCCATAAAACATATTTTTTTATTTATATTTTGTATTAAATTTTAATACTAAATTATTTGATTTATTATTCGCAAGCTTTATTAATTAAAATTCTTGAGTTACATTTAAGCCTGTTTTTTTTTTTTTTTTTTAGAATATTGGATACATTTACACTTTCATACTTAGTAAAAAAAAATGTATGTATCGTTGTCTCGGAATTGTACATCATATTTTAAGGATTAACAGTAGGAATCATTTTTAATTTAATAATTGTAAAAGTAAAGATTAGAAAAAGCAAGCGTTTGTAGTATAGGCAACGAATATTTAATCATATTTTCCAAAAGCGTGCAATTACATTGCGAAGTCCCCTGACGAAAAAAATACCAATAATAGCGATATGTATAAATAATTTCTTATATAATTTTTTGCTTCTTTTTTTTTTTTTTTTTTTTTAATTAAACGATACATGAAATATTGCAATTAAAATCTAAACAATAAAAGACTTTAGTAATTGTATAAAGAAAAATTAAAAAAATATATATAATGTAGACTTAATAATGTGCCACAGACAAATAATACCTATTAATACAATACAATTTGTGTGTTTAATAAATATTTGCATAAGATCATTATATCGATGGATTTATTTATAAACTGACTTTATAAAAGAAAAAAAGAAATTAAAAATATCGATATTTAGAAGAAAAAAAAATATATATATATATATATATTTAAACATATTTTGATATAATATTAATGATAATACAAAAATTAATAATTCCATAGCAACAATGTGGCTATATTACAATCTTACTTTTTAGAAATATCATGTATTATCAGTAACTTTTTGAGAAGTAGGACTTATACGTATTTATGTATATATGTATATTAAATGCATATGCATATGCATATACATATATATATATATATATATATATATATATATATAATCACATATGTATAAATTTCATTTCGTGTTGGCCGCGTCACTATGAGCTGATGTATATAGACCATCATTGCGCATGCGGAAAATGGTTGCTCCTCCGATAGCTACTTTGGCTTGCGATACTCTATTCTAGTTATTCTAGTTACAAAAATTGCATTTGGCAATGAATTGGAGTTGGCGGCATCGGTATTTTACAGATATGAAAAGCGTTATTGTGTAAATAAGCATTGGTTTACATTAACCTAAAAGCAAGCATTTCATGTGTACGCTGTTAACGTTAACCTTGGATTTGAAATTTCGATTGTTAATTTGATGCCCTTTTTCGCTTAATAATCTTTGCATTAAGTTGAAATAAATAAATGACAATATCTAGTTACAAAATCATATTTTTCATTTATTTTTTAGAGCTATAAAATGTTTTATCATGTGAGTATCAATTAATTTATCAAACTTCATTTACATCAATTACCGAGAAATTTTTTTCAGATATCTTTAGAACATGAAATTTTACTGCATCCTAGGTATTTTGGACCGCAATTGTTAGATACTGTAAAGCAAAAATTATACACAGAAGTAGAGGGTAATTGTACAGGGAAATATGGTTTTGTCGTTGCCGTTACAACAATTGATACTATTGGTGCTGGCATTATTCAACCAGGACAAGGTTTCGTGGTATATCCTGTTAAATATAAAGCAATAGTCTTTAGGCCTTTCAAAGGTGAAGTTCTCGATGGTATTGTTACCCAAGTGAATAAGGTATAAATGTTAATGGCGCAATAAATGTTGATATTTATAATAATTCCTATTTTTACCTTAGGTTGGCATGTTTGCGGAAATTGGTCCATTATCATGCTTCATTTCACATCATGTGCGTATATAATTCTGTTTTTGTCTTCTTTTTTACATAAATATGTATAACAAATAGTAATCTAATACTTAATTTTTTTATATTTTAGTCCATACCAGCTGATATGCAGTTTTGTCCTAACATCAATCCTCCATGTTATAAATCGAAAGATGAGGTAAATATCGAGTATTAAAATAACCGATTAATGGACTAATTTTTATTATTCTTTTATAATTGTTATACTTTTGTTACAGGATGTTGTAATTCAAGCAGATGATGAAATAAGATTGAAAATTGTTGGAACTAGGGTGGATGCTACTGGAATAGTAAATATAAAATAATTTAACTAGATTTAAACATTGAAATAATTAATTCTTTAATGGTTATTATTTTTATTTTAGTTTGCAATAGGTACATTAATGGATGATTACTTAGGACTTGTTTGCAATTGATGGTTTTTATTCTATAAAATTAATTATTTATTTCTTAATTTTTGAAGAAATTGAGGAGAAATAGTCATTGAATTGTTATATCAATGATCTACAATTCCATTTAATTATAATATTTATTTTTAATAAAATCAGTTAAAGACTAATATATATTTATCAAAATATATGTGCATTGGTCACATATATTGAAAGTGTATGTACATGAATCAGTTCAACAATTTTTTACCTTCGTTTAAAAAATGATTGCAAATTGTATATGATAGAACACTCGTTTGATAAGTACCAAGTAATATAAATAAATTCATTAAGTAAATTACTTTTACATTATGTTTATAAAGAATTTATATAATTTTAGTAACAAAGGACAATTAATTCTAATACAAAGAAATTTTTAAACAATAAACTTTTACAGTTATATTTCTATTGTGTCTCTTTATCATTTATAAATTTAAGGATACATAACATTTTGTATAAAAAGCATTTACAACTATAAAATTTATAAAATTTAATTCATGTATATTTACAATTTTAATAAATTGTGCTGCAGAATACTTTTTTTAACAAATAACTTGTACCAATAATTTTTGTAACACTAACTATTAAGTACACTAATAAATTTAAATAATAAAATCAAAATTTTCAAACAAAATTTTGCATTATATTTAGCAAATTTTGATTGATAGATAGATTGATAATTGATTTTTACAAAAATAGTTTCCTCCGTTAGTCTTCGTTATATTTTAACGTCATAGTAAAATCTTCATACTAAAATATGGTGTTCCTGTAAATGTAAATATGAATTAATAAAGATGTTTGTTTATTATTATAACGTCTTGATTTGTGTACAATCGATATAGGTGTTGAAATTTTGTATAAGTTTATGCTTATCAAATATTTAGCTTTGTTAAAACATTATAATATAACTATTTAATGCAAGACATATTATTTTATTTATAAATTTATTAATAATTATATTGCTATTATATGATATTTTTAATACGATAAGCTTTACTAATGAATATATTCTTAATAATCTATTTATATCTGTATAATAATGTCAAGATATTACTATCGATAGATTTATATTGAATATATTATGAATAGTGATAGGTATTTGTTTTCTTAATTTATTTTAAAGATTTTTTTGTTACTTGAATATATTATTATTTGTTTATTTTACCTAATGGTTTTTCCATAACAAGCATATACTTGATGAAATTGAAGTGAAAAAATTCTGTACACAAAAATATGTTTTATATAATAATTTTAATTATCTTCATTTTTACTGATAATTTCAATATTTTCATAATATCAAATAAATATATTATAGTTTATATAAAACAAAAAATCATAAAAATCAACTGTTACAATAAATTTTAATATATTTTAAAATAGACAGAATTGAAAATTTGTTGGTAAATAATCATCCTTGTTTATGTTATAATACTACATTACCATTGTAAATGGTATCTATCAGACCTATCAAACATTTTTTAAAAAAAGTAGTTTGTTACTTTTAAATATTTTTTAAATATTTCTATTTTCTACCTATCTTTCTTGATATTCGCCAAGTCTTTTATTACAATTTTATACTCGATACAATTGAATTTTTATCGTGTATTATAAAACACGTCTTTACTTCTGTACAAAAATAAAGTTATATGTTTTGAAACTTCCTAATTGAAATTTAATAAAATACGGCGATGGGGCTTGATTATATTTTTATATTATATGTTTTATTGTCAGTTTTTTTAATATATTTAATTTAAAATATATGCGAATATTACCAAAAGCACACAATCAAAATACTATTTCGCATTTAAACACATAAATTATCATATAATAATAAAATCTTCATTTATTTATTTTATTGAATATTCATCAGTGAACAGAACGTGTATTGGAGTTGGTCTTTTTTTTTTGTAAATACTTGGCCATGATTATTTATCAGGGTATTCAACTTTTATCTATTTTTTCATAAACTTGGAAAATCTGACCCATCACTGAATTCTCCTTATCATATTATCATCCATAGGCATTAATATTACTATGCACTTATTACTGTAGTCGAAGCAACTTCTCTATTCGAGAGAGACAAGAGCAAGAAATTTACATATTTTAATATTAATAAATATATTGTGATTCTACCTATGACATTCTATATTAGAAGTAAACCAATCACGTTAGAATCAATACATAAATAAGAAATTAGTGGTTGGTTAACTATTGTATATGTTTATTTATATATTTATATATTTGATAAAATCAATCAAGCAGTTTATATTCTTATTAGATATACGAAAGAAACACGCATAAGCAATATATTTCTGAGAATGGAACATGTTGAAGTGGTAATTAGTTTTCGTTTAAGAATTTTATATACATAAACTCTCAACTGAATTCAGAGATCTGTTTGTGTTATAAATACCAATTAACAAATATGCACGACCTTACGGTAATATTGTAAAACTGTGTAGCAATGTCATATAAATATCCATAATTAATTATCTTCATAGATACCTTCATAGATCATTATTCATAGTTAAACAACAGCATCCATTACATATTATAAAATAAAAAATAGATGTGCAATTGTTCTTTACGGATTCGAAAATTTTATATCATCGGACGATGAATTGCGACCTCTGCTGTGTATATTGAGAAACTAAAAACCACCCACACCACTACAATAGATACAGAATATGGCGGAATCAAGATGCAGTTGAAGATCCATCCAACGTTGCAAGAGGATTTAATTTTTGTATAAGTATTATATTGCTTCGACAAAAAAAGTAATTATAAAAATCATAAAACATTTATTATTTGTATTTAAACGATCGATCTTTACTGTTTAAGCATGTTTCGAATTGTATGATTGATTGTCCGTTTGGTTTATTTCTTATAACAAAAAAAAAAAAAAAAAAAAACACGTTTTTTTAATTTTTTGTATTTTTATGAATACAAGCCTGAACGTTTACGTTATATATGGAAAATCAATTTATAAGATAATTGCGAGCTTTTGTTTTATTAAAAAAAAAAAAAAAAAAATGACCACGATTAGTGACATTAGCGTTGGTAACATTATTAATAAATTAACTGAAAATAATGAAGAAATTTCAGTGTCAAACGATACTGAATTACAAGCCGAATGTAGTAAGACGGTAAAGGAGGTTGAAATTCAAGAAACTTTGAATGAAGATGATTTTGTAGAAGGTTTAGATATTGTGGACGCATGTGATGATGATGAAAAACATAAACCGCGGCGCAGAAGTTGGGATCGTAGTCGTGGAAGAGACAAACGTAATTCAAGGTATTTCTAATCAGTTTAAAAATCTCGCCCTTTCGATTGATTCCAACTTTCGTTAAAACTCAAATTAGCCCAATTAAAACAGTGAGAGAAATCAACATTATACGAAAGCATAAGTATTAAGTAGCATTGGTCATGTATTCTCTATTAAATATTTTAAAATTTTCCTACCTATTTCATATCAATAATCGGATAAATAGATATATGATTGCCAGTATTCCTGATATATTTGTAATTTTTATAATTTCTTAAGTAAGCCGATGTGTATAGCATTAAATGAAATTTTATAAATATCTAGAATATTATCTTGGTTATGAGGAATTCAATTTTTTGGATACATTTAATAGGGATAAATATAGAATAAAAAATAATTAATAATAATAGTTCTGTTTATTAATATATTTTGTTCATATATGTGTTGACTAAATTAATGAATAATAAAGCTATAGAATATAATACTAATTGTTCTGTTAAATATTGTAATGTTTTTATTAAATTGGGTTTATTTCTTTATTAACGTTATTCCTTTATAAAGCGCTTGTTACAATCTAAAATCTTAAATATATACATCAATAGGATCTGATTAATCGAACCATTATTACATAAATTGTATCTTCTTTTTTTTTAACCTTAATATGGAAATCACAAAATAGTCTTTTTTTTGCATATAATAAAAAGAAGAGAAAGTTTTAAATTAGTAAGTTAAATAATAGGGTTATTAAAATGAAAAATAAAAGTGATAATTTATTTCATTCATATAATAAGATTTATATTTATTAACAAAATATTAGTAATTATATCATGTAACTATGGTTTGTATTCACCAGTAAGAACATGTTTATACTTTTCTTAAAATACTTTTCTTTGAATTTTTTAAATTACATTTGTTTTATTTAAATTGACCAAGTACGCGTGTACTTAAATATATATGTTTATTCTTTATTTTCTCTTCATAAAAAAATTATTCATTTACATTAAAATATTATGTTGCTTTGAATGCTTATCGATCAATATCTAAAGTGATAAAATTTTCTGTCAAGTACTTGTGTATGTACATATATTTCATTGAGTAAAATAATAATACAAAAGCATGAGTTTTTTTTAAATATCTATTAATTTAATAATGTTATTTAATACATAAAATGTCTCTAATGCTGGCAGATATTAAAATAATTCGATTATATCGTAAGTAATTATTCACTAATATATTACTAAAACTATGAATTGTAATTAACCATTTTACGACAGTGTTTATCGGATTTTTTATTGTTTGAGTACATGTAGAACAACTTTTAAGTAGTATAAAAATAAAACATAGCCATGTAGTGTTTAACAGGAGCGCTAATTCATCGATGAATGGTCTGTTACATGTTTAATGTAATCTAGCGATACGTTTATATAATATCGAATTATATGAACTTATTCATAATTTTATATTATTATTTTTTAAATAAAAATACGTGTTCTAATAAATAAGTAAGCAAATTAACATATCTAATATATGCAATATTTTAATTTATATTTTAGTTATGAGCTTAATTTTAATTATTGTTTAACTTTCTACCTTAGTATTATTATTGTCTAAAAATATCAAGTCGAGCTTAATTATAGGGATCGGATCAAAGAACGAGAAGAAGATCGAGAAAATCATCGTAGCAGAAGAAGATCACGTAGTGTAGAAAGAAAAAAAGAACTGGCTAGACGAGATCCCAATAAAAGCTGTAAAGATATTGAACAAGACAAGATTCGTTTAAAGAAGGATAATGATAATAAAATGTTGGCAGAAAAGGAAAAAGCGATAAAAACACTGCTTGACTCGGATAATGTTGTACCTCCAGGAACCGAAGGAGAAACCATTCAAAATTTAGTAGAGAGGAATCAGCAACAAATAGAGGAAGAATCACGTAAAGTCAGAAGGAATAGTCGAGATAATCGAAGACGTAGTTTAATTCGTAGTAGGCTTGGTTATAGAAGATTCAGTCCAAGAAGAAGCCCTGGTAGAAGAAGTCCTGCGAGATCTCCAGATCGTAGAAGAAGTCCCATAACGTTCAGTCCTGATCGAAGAAGAAGAAGAAGTTCTCATCAATTAAGTCCGGATGAACGTCGTCGTAGAGGAGGCAGTTTTGAAAGAGAAAACAGTTCAGAAAGAAGGGAAGCTTCGAGAAGACGTTTACGGGAACGGTAAAAATTATGCTTCTAAATAAGATTGTTCAAAGGCTTCAATGTACTTAAATAATTTTCGGTGAATAATGTTTCTATGTAATTGAAAGATCTTATGATAGAAAGTAAAGATAAGTATCAATCATTTAGTCCAAAGAAAATAAAAGTACTTTATTTGGAAAACAAATGTAAAAGTACTTCCATTGAAAGTCTCGACTACTTAATTATTGTCCACTATTTTTCAGTGACATGGAAATATATTGCACTTTAAGCATTTGCGCTTCCATTGAAACTTTTGATCATTACTTATGAATCATTTAATCTGTGATTATTATAAGAAATAATTATTAAACGAGTAATAGTTGTACAGTGTGAGAATACTTTGTTAGCGAGGTGAAATTTGGACGAAGGAGCCGTTCTCGCGATCGACGCAGCACGGAAAGACACCGAAGTCGCAGTTTGGATCGACATAGGCGATCACCGTTTGATAGACACAGTCCTAGGCGCTTACATAATTCAAGACGTCGATCTCTATCTCGTAGTCCTTTAAGATCTCCCAACCGATCCAGACGAAGATCTCCCTTTATCAATGAACTCGCTCGACAGTTCCAAACAGACTCCATGAGAGTAGATAATGGAATGCCGCCCGTGCAGCAGCCACTGGGCGTCATGCATCTGGGACCTGGTGGTCCACCATTTATGACTGCTGGAGGGGGTCCACCGGGTATGCACCCGGGAGGGCCCCAGCCAATGGATCCAAGAATGATACCAGGACTTCTACCGACGCCGCAAAGAATGATGCCAGGCCCCCCTGGCATGGCTCCAGGACCACCAGGAATGCCTCCCCGGCCC